CGGCCGCAGCTGAGAGCGGACCCCGCGCCCGCCCCGCGCCGCTTTATCCTTTCGCAGCCCGCCCCGCGGCCAATCGCGCGCTGTATCCAACGCCCTCCGCGTGCCAAGCCCCGCCCGCCTCCCCGGGATTGGCGGCCGGCGCGGAGCGGTAATAATGGCCGCGTGCAATGGGAAGCGCCCGCGCTGACCTCATTCCCGGCGGCGGGGCGAACTTTTTAAAAGGGGCAGGAGGGCAGCTCCGCGCGCCGCCCCGCGCCTCGCCGCGCACGTGCCCGCGACCCCCCTGCCCCCCGCCCGCGCTCCTCCCTCCCCTCCTCCCTGCCGGGGGAAAAAAAAATCAGGAAATCAGCAGAAATCATCACAATACAAATAATTAAAGAAAAAAAAAAAAAAGAAAGAAAGAAAGAAAGGGAGAGAGGGGACTCAAGGCGTCCCGCCCCCGCGCGCCGCGGCTGCGGGGCGGCGAGCGCGGACACCTGCCCGCACAAAGGGCCGGGAGGCTGTTCCTGCCGCCCCGGAGCCGCCGCACGCCCAGCGGGCAGCGCTGCCCGGGGGATGCCGGAGGGCGCCCCGCGCCCGTCCCCACGCCCACACGCGGAGTGTCACGGAGGGGTCGCCAGCCCTGGAGAAGCGCCCGCGAGGCGCTGCCGTCACGCCCCCTCCGCCAGGGAGCTGGAGCGGAGCGGCGCAGGGGGTGGGACGGCACCGGCGGCGGGCACCTCCCGCGGGGCGCCGGGCCCCGCACCGGGCAGGGCGCTGAGTAACCGCTGCCGCCCGCCCCAAATTCCCCGGCGCGGAGCGAGGAAGAGGTGTTGCCCTTATCGCGTTTTCACCCTCCGACCCCTCTCCTGCGTTTCGCTACCTGCCGCTCCCGCATGCCGCGGTCCCACCGAGACGCCCTATCCCGGGGACAGGCTGCGACTGGGGGTCCCGGCCCGTCCCCTCCGGGTCCCCAGAGAGCGGGAGGGGCCGCGGGAGGAAGAAGAGGGGCGCAGCCGCCAGGCAGGTACCGGCCCTGGGGGGGAGGTGCTACTGCGCCTCTGCCAGTGCGCCCCGCCGAGCAGGCCTCCCCCACCCCCCGGCCTCTCCGGGGTTCTTCCCAGGCTGAACGTGCTTTTCGGGTATTGCTGTTTGGTCTCATGTGCCCCTCCCTCTGTCCTGCCACGATGAGTAAAGAAGAAAACAGCAGGGCAGCGAGGTCACGAGCTGTGCAGCACCCCTGCAGGCCTCATGGCATCAATCTCCCCTCCAATATTCAGGTGAAGGGAGCAGTAAGACCATAAAAACAATGGCAGTGTTACTTCCCAAAGATTCCTCACATCACTCATCAGACCAGGGACCAGAAAAGCTAATAGGCAAAACACAACACCAGTTAAAGCTACCTTTTTTTTTTTTTTTTTTTTTTTTTTTTTGTTCCTACACAACAGCAATTAGAAACACCTTTTTAAATCAGAAGCAAAATAATGGTTGGATACAGCTAAAATATCTAAGATAGAGGTCAAAAAATAAGTTGTACATGTTTGCAAGAAAATTTATGGTAGGATCCTTTAGCAGAGTTTCTAGGTGGATTGAGAACAGGCTTTGAATATTAAGATCTCACCCTGGACTCAAAGAACATGGCTGTGAAGTGCTGAGAAAAATCCTGAATTCTCAGTACCTCCCTGAGTAGGCCACCTACATTACTGAGACTGTTTACAAAGACACAAATTAAATTATAGCTTTGCTTGCAAAAATAATACATTGGTTCCTCATACAGCCTCTGGTCAAGACTGGATAAAATACTGCTTTCCTCTAGGCTGACGACATCCAGTGACATCAGTGGAGTTTCTCACCTTCACACTTTGTAAGTAGTAAATCATGCTGTGTTTTTCCCCTGCAGCCCCAAAGCTAAAATCAAATCTCTTCTACCCTATACAACCAGCATCTACAGAAATGGAGGCTCACTGTTGGTGTGGTGTCAGGAATAAGCACTGGCTTTTGCTTACACTCTTGGTATTCATGTGCAGCAGCATGAAAAACTGGGACTGGGAGCAGTCGCTAGCTTCTGGCTGCTCCACCTGTCAGCACGGTATCCAGCAGGATTTCAACCGCCAGCTGTTGTATTTTACATATAAATATCAAATTGTTTAAACTACAAAGCAAGTAAAATATTCCCATGTTTCCAGACACAAACCCCAAACTGATAGGCAAACATAGAAAGAAAAGGATTAAGAAGTTTATCACTTGTTTATGTTAAGTTCTGCAAGGTCTTGACCACCATGAATAAAATTCTTCTCCAGGTGAGGAGTTGTCTTCCTGATCAAAGCAGCCACATCACTTTAATATTGGTTCAAAAAGTGGGGATGGATGGAAGATTATTATTTCCTGAACAAAAACTCCACAAAAGTGAAATTTAGGGCTACTTAATAAAGCAAGTGTAAGAACACAATGTGAAACTCTATAAAAAGCATTTTACAACAATTTCTTAGCTGTTTCCTCAACGTTAATTGCTTCCACCCCTCATCCTCCAGTGGCGGACTGAAAGTACTTTTCAGCTCCCCAAATTTTTTAAGCCTAGGCATAAAGCGCGAGCATTCCGCTTCCGTCTAAAAATGAAGTTTTAAGAGTATTGGCAAGGCTTCTCCTCGTTTTACAAGTTAAAAACCCTTGAAACTCCCATTCTGTTTCCTGCAGTCTCCGTGAGGCCGGGGATGCGGCATGAGACGCGAGGTGGCAGCGCTGAGCCTCTTCTGCCAGACGTGGGAAAACTAGCGAACGCGCGATTATTATTTTTTTAATTATTTTTTTTTTCCCCTGTGGTTTTATGGAGCAGCATAACGCTGCAAGTTTCTGACTGAAATTTGGTGGGTTTCCATCAGAGCGGCAGTGCCCACGCAGTCAGCTGTACGCCGCCGGAACAGCGTGCGAGTGATGCCAAACCCCGATGCGGGGTTTAAGGGCAGGGGCACTGAAAACACACCGGGACCTGCAGCTCGCCTTGCACATGCGGCAAGAGAGATTGCTCAGGAACAATACTCTGGACAAATCTACTGCAGGACTGGGCACTGCAAGCATTGATTCCAGCATTCCTATCCCTGGAAATGTTCAAGACTGGGTTGGATGGGGCCCTGAGCAGCATGATCTAGTGGGTGGTACCCCTGCCATGGCAGGGGGTTGGAACTAGGTCATCCTTAAGGTCCCCTTCGACCCAAACCGTTCTATGAATCTGTGGTTGATTGCAGGTGCTCTGTGTGAATCAGCACGCAGTCCCCACCGGTTAAAACGTTTTAAGGACACGCAGATTTAGCACCGCTCTTTCCCCCCACTCGCTCTTCTGTTTTAAACTGAGGGTTACCAGCGCACAGGCTCCTTTAACTGCAGCCCTTGCCGTTGGTCTTTTCCACACCCCCAGCTCCGTAGGCTGTGGGAAACGCTTAGCAGCCTACTCCGTCTGAGCTCTCGGGAGCAGACCTTCCCTCCCGTGAGCGTGTTCCTGCGTGCCCTCCCCGGCGCGCAGCGCTTCCCTGTCCTGGCGCAGCGCAGCCAGGAGCCCCCGCAGCTGCTGCGGCCGCCTCTTACCCCCTGCAGCCTCCCCGCTCCGCAGCCGCCCCGGCCCGGCCGCTCGGGTTCATTAACACGCGGTCAGTTCCGCGCTGTGACCCCAGCAGCCCGCAGGGATGCGCGGAGCGGCGCCGTGGGCTCTCCGCGGGCGGGTGTGCCCGCAGGACGGGGATCTCCGCGCCTCCCGCCGCCCCATGAGGTCCCTGCGGCGGGGCAGGGCAGGGCAGCGCTCGGTGGCGGCGGCCCCGCGGGACTGAGCCCGCGTGGGCCGTGTTCACCCGCACCGGAGCGGCAGGGCTCTGACCCGGGAGCGTCCTGAGCAGTTACATCCTAGGGTCGTCCAGCGATCCTAGGGGACGCCCTGCGGGGAATAAATGAATGAATGAAAGGGATTCACTAACATCTTGCTTCCCGTGCCCCCATAACAGGCATCCACAGGGTGGGGAAAGGTGGCATCTTATTTATCTTGAAGAAACCCCTCTATTATTTCTAAGTGTTTTCCTCTGTAACACATATTTTTCCTGACATTTTGTGCCGCATTTGAAATAGGTGTATTGGGATTATTTCAACCTTCTTGAACTGCAAATGACAAGGCCAGAGCAGAGGTATGCTGCTGAAGAACACATTCCCCACCACCTTCCTATTGCCTATTTTGATCCAAAGAAAATAAAGTAGTCGAAATTCTTGCCATTAAGGGGGAAAAAATAAAAAAAAGGCATGGCTTTTGAAATAACATGATGATAACAGATATTCATCAAAGATCAAAGAGCGTGCTTAAGGATCAGAGGTGTAAACTGAGACATGAAAGAGGGCCCTCCTTCTTCGTCCTGTTTGCAAGAAGAAAACTCCATTGTACAATTGCATCACTCCGATTCACAGTGTACTTTTATTTAAGGTGATTCATAAACGCTTTGAACTCTCTCCGATAACTTTGTGGAGAAGAACTTTTATTACTGGGAAGTGTTTTATGGAGGACATTATTTACTTAGGAGTGAAAATCTGTTGCCTAAAGTTGTATGGTATTGTTTCCTTCCAGACTGTATATTCACTTGCATTTTACTTGAATACAAGCCTGCACATAGACGCCCAGTGCTCCTGTTATGAAATGCCAACACTTTTCTAGCTCATTTAATAAAATAAGTAGGTAGGAATCAATTTGCATATACATATTTATATTAATTCAGATATTTATCACTTATATGTAAATGTTTGGTTTGGGAGGGGAGGAACACCTCTCCAGTGATTTTAGTAAGAA